GGTGGAGCGTGTGAAGGAGGTGATCAGAATCACGTCGAAGGGGCGTGCTATAGGTTGGATGGACTTGGTGCGCTCAGGGTGGCAGGTGGAGGGAGCTGTTTGAGATGGCTGGAGCTGGGCAGGATGGGGCTCCCCGGTGAGCCGCAGTAGCGGAGCCCGGCCCTGGAAGGTTGGGGTCAGACTCCTGCTCTCCCGTCCTGGCCCCGGCTCTCCCAGCTCTATGGGTTGGGCCAGGTGTTTCACTTGTTTTCCCTCAGAAAAATGGGCGAGTACAATGATTCTCAGCTCACAAAACTACCCTGAAGATTAAGTTAATTAAGGTATTTAAAGTTCTCAGAGCCCAGTAACTGTCTTACATAAATAACAGCTGGTATTACGGGCTGGGGAGAGGGAATAGGCTAACAGCAATCAGCACAGTGCTTCTCCAACCTGAATGAGAATAGGAATCACCTGAAGCGCTTGCTAAAAGGAATATTATGATTTAGTGGGTTTGGAGTGGGGCCCAAGATTCAGCATTTCTGATAAAGCTCCCCGGTGATGCTGTTGCGGCTGGTGCGGGAACCACACCTTGAGTGGCAGGGTTGTGGCAGTCCTGATACCTGCCCCCCCGCACCCCCCAGGAGTGGCCAGCAACCATCCGTCATGGCATCAGGTGCATGGCTAGTCTCCATTCGCTCAGGAATGAAGGATGGGTATATTTGGACTGAGCACCCCGGCTTTCCTCCCAGGTGTAATTTGTACAGGAAGGGGCCTGGGGGTGGGGTATAATAAGTGCAGTATCAGCAGAGTCAGCTGTGGGCTCCAGACCTTATAAGATGGGGGGTGAAGCCCGGAGGGAGGGCTGCGGGCCAGAGAGCACAGTGAGGCCAGGTAGTAGGTGTGGGATGGAGGTGTCAGAGAGGTTGTAGGATGTAATGTCAGAGTATAAGATGGGGGACAGTAAAATATTTCCTGCTGAAAACTTAGTCTAATTTTATTTTATTTTTTTAAAAAGAGTTTATTTATTTTAGAGATAGAGAACACAAGTGGGGGGAGGAGCAGAGGGAGAGGGACAAGCAGACTCTGCACTGAGCGCGGAGCCCAACGAGGCGGGGGGTGCTCAGTCCCACAACCCTGAGATCATGACCTGAGCTGAAACCAAGAGTTGGACGCTTAACCGACTGAGCCACCCAGGTGCCCCTAATTTTATTTTTTATTTTTGATGATTTAGAAGGCTTTTTGTTTCCTTGGCAGCACCTCAGATGTTATAAACCGCATTTAATTAGAAACATGTTTAATTCTTCTGGTCAGTAGAATGCCTGATAAGGGAAAAGTTACTGGGTGTTGCTTTCTACCATGTCTGGATCACTCCGGTCAGGCTGTATGTTACCAGGTGGAGAAGTGCAGTGCAGAATTCCCATTGATGGAGAAATCATTCCTCCTGGGAGACGTTAATGTAGCGGTGGGAACAGCGGGCCCTACAGGATTGGACAAATGCTGCTAAATTTTGGCCAGTTTTTCTTGGGGTCACATTCATCCTTTGTTAGAGAAACACACTTTAATTTCTAACATGCTTAACACCCAGTCTAGATAGCTTATCTGCTGGCTGTCGCCTTCTGTCCTTCAAACCTTTTTTCCTGTTCTGGTGTCAGGGCTCAATGTGAGATGTTGTACAGAGACCCTGGGTCCTGGTTATTTCTAGAAAGCTCCTGTTCAGAGGGGCGCCACTGGGAACATCCCAGTGACTTCCCCTTGTTGCTGGCATCCCGGCTCTGCCACCAGCAGTAGCCCGGGAGTCACACTGTTCCCTGCTTCTTTTCTGTCTGAAACGGACTTCTTTTCTGGTGGGAATCAGAACTTTGGTTCAGTTTTTAAAATGGATTTTCATAAAAACGGGGTTTCGAGAAAGGAAAGAAAATAACCTTTCAGTAGAACTGCTCAACTGTATTTTATGCCCAGTCTTGGGAATAAATGTTACTGCATGTAAAACTTTGTCTAACCTCACTGTTGGACCTGAGGAATTTGTGGGCTCCTGACTGAGCTCCTTTCTCTGAGAAGCATTGGATTCTTTTTTTAAACCCCCAGCTACCTCCTCTTGGCTTTACTAAGTTGTGAATTTGTTAAACAGAATGAGAGCAATGCAGTGGTAACCCCCATCCTCGTGGTAGGAGATGGGGAAGGGCAGAAGCCTTTACACATTTTTTTTTTAAATTTTTTTATTTTGTAGAGTATTCATCAGTTCCTAAATAAGAACCCCATTTGTTAAACAATGTGAAACTTAGTTGCTTTGGCTTTGGAAGGTAGAAGTTGTTTTCCTGGAGTCTCTGCAAACTCCCTACAGGGATGTAACTTTGTAAAATTGCTTTCTGGTCTTTTCAGTGGAGGTCAATGTCCCATAACCGTGAAACCCTGGTTTCAAATTATGCTGCAAGTTCTTTTCTTTCCAGTAAACCGAGAGAGGATGTTCTTAACAGGTCTGTATTCTTGTTCTCGCGACTCCTATACCAATATTTTCTGCTACGTAGATTTTATAATGTTTTTGTCTTAATTTCTACGTTTATTCAGTATTTATTAGTTAAAGGCCCATGTCACCATTTCTTTCAGTGCCCGAGGCTATAATCTTAGACCTTTTGCTTTATCTTTCTCTCTTCCAGCAAATAAATCTAGGAGGGAGACACCCAGCGTTCTAAAATAAAATAGAAGGTAGCCATTTTATTGTCTGTGGTTGGAGTCTGCTTATAGAAACAGAACTGGCAGATCTTGTAAACAGAGAGAGGAGAAAGGGCATAAAGGAGATTTTAGGGTGTGAAGCTGCACTATGTCTGTCGTTGGAGACTTCCTTAGTGTAATCTCAAATATTAGTACTTGAAGAATACTAACTCATCAGCCATGCTTGTTTTGTTTTGTTTTCTGTTTCAGTAAAGGTAGAGTTCTGTTTCTGATAGTTTTCCTTGTTTTCTTACTTCTTAGTTTTGTATGTACTTCTATGTTTTGTAATAGATGTGGCTTTAAAGTCTTTTAATGTAGTCATTAAACACAGATTTTCCTCTCTGTTGCTATCATCATGATGAATACTGCTAAGAAAATAATTTTATTGTATATGTCAACAGAAAATTATTTTCTCTAGGGGCGCCTGGGTGGCCCAGTCGGTTGAGTGTCGACTCTGGGTTTCCGTTCAGGTCATAATCTTGGGGTACTGGGATTGAGCCCCCACATCGGGCTCTGCACTCGGCGTGGAGCCTGCTTGGGACCCCCCCCCGCCCCTCCCACTTGTGTGCTCTCTCTAAAATAAATAAATCATTTTTTAGAAAAAAATTTTCTTCTATCCATTTCTTTGTAGTTTTAAAGAGCAGTCTGTTCTGAATGTCTCAAAGGACATTTCAGCATTTTTTTCCCTACACTACTTTGCCAGCATCTATTAACACATTAAAATCAGTATCATTAGGTCTTTTCCAATGACTCAAAAAATGTAAATGGAAAAAAATATGTTAAGCACAGAAGGGGTTGTTTCAAAGGTGAATTCGGTTTTTTTAGAGTGGAGAGAAGCTTTTTTTTTTTTCTTCTCTTTTTTAATTGAGCATAACTGTTTGCAGTTATGAATAAGAACTTTATTTTTTAACTTTCCATATTGAGGCTCAGATCTTCTAGACCAAGTGGTCAGGCTTTACAGGTTCCACATGATAATGTCTTTAAGTCAAACCCAACCCCGAGCCTGCACTGATTGTGAATTGACATTGACTGAACATGTATGTAAATCCTTACTTTACATTTAAGGTCTGTGGTATTTCCTTAGCATTAAGGAGGCTCCCATGATATAACTAACTAGTTTCTATTATGGAAAATAGTGTTTTCTTCACATTATAGTCTTTCAAAGTCTTCACAGGATGTTTTTAGACAACTTCAGTTTCACCGTGATCATTCAATGGTGTAAGTCTCACATTTGAATGGGAATCTGAAGGCTTTTTTCTTGCCTTAATTTTGTCCTTATAGCCCTGTGATTTTCAGTCACGTTCTGGGCCTTCATTTTCTTATCTGTAAAACGAGGGGGTCAGACTAGACCGTCTCCAGGGTCCCTTTCCCCTTGAGGTTTCTCCGAGTCAGTGGATCTTTGGCTCTTATGTTCACATGTTCATCTGCTACATTGCTTTGTTTAATTATGTCTGAGTCCATTTTTTTAAAAATGCAAATTACTTTGGCCAGAGGCTCATCATTCTCAGTCATCCTGTCCTTTTAAAAAGTTTTGCTTTTTCACCTACACCAGGCATTTGGAAAGCATACCCCTGAATCACATCTCTACCCTGGTTCAAAAAAAATGTTGAAATTCTTGCAGACAATTGATGTAATCTGTTTAGATTATCTGGCATGGCTGCTGATTATCTTGCTGTGTTTCTAGCAATCCCCCAAGTCTCAAAAGTGTTACAAGGTGTGTGAAGAATAGTCTGATGCTGTTTCATTTTGCTTAAGTAGGTTGAGCAGAATCCTGGGACAACAAGGGTGATGTCAGGTTCTGAAAAGAAGCGAGATGGCAACAGAAGAGTATTTGCTTTTTTTTTTTGACGTAGGTTTTAGATCGCTGATATACCCCTAGATTCGTACGCTTCATTAGGCTCCCTGATTCCCCTGCCTTCCCTCCATCAGCAGTCTGTTGCTCACTTGCATTTCCTTAGGCAGTCTTGAAGCCGACCACATGGCCTTTAATGTGTAGTAATTAATGAAGTGTTTACCGAAGCAAAAGTGAAAGATGGGTTTGATCCCGATGGCTGATGTGTGTGGTGTTCTTCCAAAATATTTTATTCTTCATGTGTGTAGTAATGCATTTCGAGAACATGATTGCTTTGGAAAGAGGGCAAGTTTGGGAGTTTGCGGGCTGGGTGGTCCTTTTGGGTACTAACTGCTGTCCCTAATTCATACCGGTCAGGGTATCTTCAGGGTAGGCGTGCGCTGCGTAACCCAAGTTGCTGTCCCAGCGAGCGCTGTTTGCCTTCCACTAGTGAAGAATTGGGCCGTGTGTTTTGATTCAGGTGAGAAGAGTTCCTGGGTCAAGCGGTCACCTTCATAAAACCGAGGACGGTGACTGGGAGTGGAGTGACGACGAGATGGATGAGAAAAGCGAAGAAGGGAAGGCAGCTTTTTCTCAAGAAAAGGTAAGTGACATTGACGACGGTGAGCTAACCTGTGCACATTTTATTTTTGTGGCATTTCGTGGGTGCATGTATTAATGGATCTGCAATTGTTTTACAGTCACGAAGAGTAAAAGAAGAAAACCCAGAGGTGAGTGGTGGTTATTTATTTTAAAATTTTTTTGGCCCACTCACCCCCGCCCCCTCCACCACCCCTTGTGGCGTCAGAATGTGATCCATTTGGGGAAAGAGACTTCAAAATTTTGTTCTCGTGGAATAGCAGAAAAGAAAAGGCATGTAGACTTTGCAGGTCCCAATTGTGAGTTACTCTTGGGCTTTATAAATTGGGGCAGATGATTTTACTCTGAGCCTCCGTTTCTTCATCTGTCAGATGGTGATGATCATACTACTTTTTATTTTATTTTATTTTTTATTTTATTTTTTTTAAGATTTTATTTATTTATTTGAGAGAGAGAGAGAATGAGAGACAGAGAGCAGGAGAGGGAGGAGGGTCAGAGGGAGAAGCAGACTCCCTGCTGAGCAGAGAGCCCGACGTGGGACTCGATCCTGGGACTCCAGGACCATGACCTGAGCCGAAGGCAGTCGTTTAACCAACTGAGCCACCCAGGCGCCCTGATCATACTACTTTTAAATTGCTCTGAGGATTGATGAAATCATGTACATAAAATGCTCACTGGGTGCTCAACTTAGGACTCAGTTGATCCAACTCATATTACTGTCTTTTAGAAAACACAGCAGGCATACAGGCTAAATCTCTTCTAGATTTTTTAGTTTACAATAAAGCAGATAGAAACTGGTTGGAAACTTCATGTTGGATCTGTCTGTCTTGGCCTTACAGTGTCCTGGGTAGCTTCGTAGGCAAGGAACACTCGTCAGCTTCCCTTTGAGAACTAGTCATCTTTTGATTAACTTAACTTCCTCCATCTGGTTAATTATCCTAGTGCCTAATGATGACTGTAGTTCAAAAGACTTGCCAATTCTCCTAGAGAAAATTTGAGCGTATTTAAATAGCTCCAAATATTTTATAGACCTAGTAATTAATGTATGCCTTGATAAATTCTCATTAAGAAAACAGAAGACTTTGGGTTACAAATGGGATCCACCCCAACTTTTATTTTTTTTTAAATTAGCAGACATTTCCTTTTGATGCAACGAGGTCAATCTTCCATCCACTACAAGGGGCAGTTGCCAGCTGGCCCTTCTGCGAAGAGCACGTCCGAGCTACAAGCCATTGTCTCCCTGTCACTCTCCCCTCCCTCCGGTCTCTTCATCCTTCCTGCCACACCAGTAGGCCTCCCCTCGGGATTTTTCAGCCTGCCTGCCTCCCCTTGTTACCTGTCCTTCAGTTCCTGTTTCTTCCTATGTTTATCATAGGAATTCATCTTTTTCATTTTGTACATAACATATAAGCTTCATCAAGGAAGTTATCCCTCCCTGTTACAAACGATGGTGATAAGCTCCACAGTAGGACCCATCAGCTGCACACATGTGCTGGCTTTTAGAATGATCTTAACCGGGTATCGTGAACTGTGCTGTCTCCCTGCCCACTTGCCTATTTTACCCACAGTGAAGTGTGGAGTCAAGGTTTTTCATCTATTTCCTAGAGTGTCTCGAACCAGAAGTGCCCATCCTGCCTAGAAATAGAACAAAATAATGTGATTCAAGTGGCAGCGTGATGCAGAAAGCATTTGTATTGGTTCACTATGGGACGTCTTTATCAGAGCGTATTCACCGAATCCAGCCTTCCCTCGTGCAGACTGATGGGTGTGGGTCTTTCCTCTTGAGAATTTAAGTTTATTGTGACAATATCCTCCTCTGTGCTTGTTGAAATTGCTGATAACTGATCTGTTACTTGGATATTAACAGTATCTTTTTGGCAAGAATATTTTCTGCACAGACAGGAAAGAGTAATGGATAGCACGCTGACAGTTAATCATCCTCACTCTCGACCTTCTTGGGTGGGATTTGAAAGTCTTAGGCACTTCTCTGTGTCTCAGCTCATTTGGTTTCCCAGAGGCATATGTCTGTTCCCATGCTGGTTCATAATTAAGGAACACATAGATAGCCTTATTTTTGTGAAAAGGTTCATGTCTTTGAATGTAAACACTTTTACCACATTTTAGGAATAATCAGCCCCACCTGCTATTGCATAGCTTTTCAGGCCAGTTTTTTGTTTTGTTCTGTTTTGTTTTTCAAGGCTGGCATTTCAGTATCCTGAGCTGTGTTAAGAGCAGCCACAATGATGGTTCCTCTGTCCTTTCAGCTTTTTATTAAAGTAGCTTCCTGACTTGCCACCCACCTAAATCCACTTTTTGTAAGTGAGGCAAAAAATATTTATATATTGCAGAAAGGAATTAGAACTGTTGAATGTGTAAATAGGCAACAAATACACGCACACACACACACACACACACGCATACTGTGCACACTGTTTTAGTAGGTTTGGGGGATACATCAGTGAGGGAAAAAAACACGAAATCCCTGTCCCTGTGGCACTTACATTTTGATGGGAGCAGACCAACAACAAGCAACAGCCTTCATAAATCAGTAAATTTGTGGTTTGTTACAATGGAATAGGAGCAATGGGGAAAAAATGGTGGATGGGAAGTACAGGGATGTGGTAGGGGATTATAATTTTAAATGGGTTGGTCAGAGTAGGTGTTATTGAAAGGGATGCAAAGACATAAAATTCTTCTTACGGAAGCATTAAATACAAGTGGCTCTTCAAGTTTCTCTATTTTGCTACCCCTCTTGCCCCGTGTCTATTCCTTCTTTCCACAGAGGTTGTCAGTTTGCAATATTTTCTTCTAGACTTTTTCTGCTCATTTACATACAAATATGTAAATAAAGAAATCTGTATCCTATTAAAAATGTGAATGGGATTATAAACACCATACACATTTTTACTGAAGTATAGTTGACACAACGTTACATTGGTTTCAGGTGGACAACATAGTGATTCCACAAAAAATGTTTTTTGGTTTTTGCAACTTGCGTTCTATCTTGGAAATCTTCCCATGTTAGTTGTTCTGTAGATCTGCCTCTCTTTTTAACTGCCAAGTAGTATTACCCTGGATCAATTGAAATGGTTAATTTAACCATTAACTTCTTGGTGAGCGTTTAGGTTACGATTACAAACTGCCTTCCATTCACTTTTTGTGTCTGCATATCAAGGGCATGTGTGCAGGTGAAGTAATTTAAAGAATTAAAAGAACTGATTATTTCGTTTGAGAAAATCTGATTTTGAATTTTTTTTTTAAGATTTTTTTTTTTAATTTATTTATTTGAGAGAGAGAGTGAGAGAGAGAGAGAGCACATGAGAGGGGGGAGGGTCAGAGGGAGAAGCAGACTCCCCGCCAAGCAGGGAGCCCGATGCGGGACTCGATCCCGGGACTCCAGGATCATGACCTGAGCCGAAGGCAGTCGCTTAACCGACTGAGCCACCCAGGCGCCCTGATTTTGAATTTTTAATAGCTGCTATCAAAAGGTGAACCACTTTAAATATCTCACATTTCTGTTTGTCAATTGTGTCTCTGTAAAGTTGAGAGTAAAAAAGCAGTACCAATTTATACAGCCTCTGACAGGGTACCTTATATCTTTAAACATCTTTAAGGGTAAAAATGCTTATCTGTGCCAAATTGCACATTTAAATGCCAGTGTTTACATTTTAATAAGCTTTTCAAGGACGTTTGTCATTTAAATTGCAGTCTATTTACTTAACTAGAAGCCCCTAGAAGACAGGGCTAGTATTTTATTCATATTTGTGTTCCCATTGCATCTAGTGGACACTCTGTACATGTTCGTTGGTGATGTGAATACCCACACGCTGAAATAGACATTAAACAAGTGCCTGAAGAGGCATATCATATTTGTGAGTGGGTCAGAGGTGAGGGAAAAAAAAAATCAGAAGATGTTACATAATCGAGCTGAGGTTCAGAGACGGGAGCCCTACTTGGTAGTTCCACGTTGAGACAGAATAAGATGCTTCAGTAAAGGAGGGAGTGTTTTAGATGCTTAATTTGTAAAGGCCAATTTGGCTTCCCTAGGAAGTATAAGGCAGAATGTCCAGGTATTATAGCACTTGTTGAAGATTAAGGAGGTCAGGGTGGGATGTTTGTTAGAAGGGCCTTGGGAAGGTGTGCCTGATACTCGGCCGTATTTGGACATCCTCTTAAATCCAAGAGAATTTCCAGTGTAACCTGGAAAGTGCCAGAATTACACCACTTGTCTTGAGATTCATAGCCAATCCCATAGAAAAATTGGTCCTCCTGTGTTCCTAACCTGATGTTTTAGAAATAGCCTTGCCAAGTATTAGTTACAGCCTACTAGTAATTCATAGTTTATAGTAAGTAGATAATTCATGCTCATTTCATTTATTTATTATAATATTCCACTTGGATGGTGAAAACCAGTGGTGACTTAAAGGTGACTATATTGTTAATGTAACAATAGTATTAATAATGAAGTTAATTGAGCAAATATCTGTGCCTGATTTTTACATGAAGCAGTGTTAGGTACTGTGGCATTGTGGGAATTATATAAAGCAGGCTCTCTGCTTCTCATCTCTTTGGAGGTGGAGGTCGGGGGCAAGACTGGCTTCCTTAGGTGGGGTTTCCTAGTCTATATGCCATCCTATCTTATAGGAAACTTTTCAGCTATTACCTCATAATTGATCTTCTTTTTGACCCGTGACTTGGGAATCTGTTTTTGTCAGATTCTGAAAATAATACATGTTTATAATTTTTAAAATTGGTTTTGCTTTATATCCTAATTTTCTATATAAAAGTAAAATTGCCTTTATCTTTACATTCCCACTTTCTTTGGGTTTCCTTTAACCGAGGGAGACATTTGCTAAGGCTTCTACTAAGGAAGCGTTATTTTTACCCCAGCCCCTCTGTTAGGCATGAAAACAAATGGTTTGCAACCTTGGCTGCACAACAGAAAAACCGAAAGCTTTAAAAATGCAGATGCCTAGAGCCAGCCCTCAAATTGTGATTTGGGAGTTGGGGGTGATGTCCAGGCAACCCAGATTTTTAGAAAGCTGCTGATGTGATTCTGATACATGGCTAGGATCAAGAACCACTGGCTAGGAAAACCACACCACTTGCTCTGACTCCGGAAGGCCACACTGAAATCCAGGGAGATTGTGTGCTCAAAATTTCTGAAGATTTGTTTTAAGTATCTATCAGAAATCGCCAGGTGGGAAGGTTTGTTGACCGAGGCCCTCGACAACCCATAAGAGCTATGTTGAAGAATTTTATTACAGAATCTAGGCGAGGTTAATTGTGAAAACGTTTCCTGACTCTGGTATTTTGTTCTGGGGAGAAAATAAATTGGGTGTGGATTTAGGTTGAGTTAATTTTACTAGAGGTTCATCACAATGTGAAAGCTAAATTTATTGCTTATGTTGACTCATGGCTATTGCCTGATTGTTAGAACTGCCGTTAGCTTTTTTTAGTGTATTTCTGAGGACATTGTGTTTTCCAAATGCCTGTCAGCTCTTACACATGTTTGTATTATATCCATTGGTAGATGGAGGCACAGATTTAATTTCTGCCTCCAAATTTATTATGCATGGCTTTGTCACCACAGATGGCTTTGACTCCATACTTTCCTGCCACCATTTTCTAAAAGATGTTCTTATTTCCGGTGACCGGCTTTCTGACTTTTTGTCATAAACATTAGATTTGTCATCAGAAATCTTCTGTATTTCTGAAAACCTATTTTGCAATAATTTTAGATTTTGAGAAAAGTGACAAAGATAGTACAAAGTTCCCATACACTCTTCACCCACTGTTCCATTCTGTGTGAGCCTGGTTCATTTGTCACAACTAAGAAACAAAAGTGCTACATTACCATCAGCTAAACCACAGACTATGTTCATATTGCTCTAGTTTGTCCACTAATATCCTTTATTTTGGTCCCAGGATCCAATCCAGGATAACACACTGCATTTAGTTAGCCACAGTTATTTTATTTTTTATTTTTATTTTTTGCCACAGTAATTTTAAAAATAGAAAAGGAGAAGATTAGGCAGAGCCTTGTGGAGAATTAGCAGACATTGTCCCTTTCTTTTCTCTATTCTGGGATTTTTCCCTCTTTCGCCCAGTCTCAGGCCTATTTCCAGGGTGGTATCCACCATTAATGTGTTCTTCTCTTCCCCTTCTATGAAAACCCCCATTCCCTCTTATAACAAACTGTTTAAAAACAAACAAAAAAATTCCAGTAAGCAAATTTATATTGGTGATGAATAACACCTGCTTAATATGTTAGCTTTCTTGTAAGTTTTTATATTTAAAAATGTTCACCCATAATGGTAGAATTTGGGTGACTGGAGTTGGTTGTCAAGGAAGATGTTTTGCGCAAGAAACTTCGCTCTCCACCCCTCCTGTGCATCTCTGCATATTTTCCTGAGGAATCCCCTGTATCGCTTTTGTACCCTTGAGAGCCAGAGGCTGGTCTCTTCATTACCTGCAGGGCTGCACCTACAGAGTGAGGTTGCATAGGGTCCTTGGGGATCCAGCCCCCAGTCTAGTTAACTAGCTCTCCATCCTGATGATGGCCCAGGAATAAGGGAGCAGGGGAGGAGAGGGGAACCTCCTTAGGAGGAAGAGAGGTTTTCATCTCTAGTAAATGCTGTTAAGGTTTTTCAGTTTAGAGTAGTCTTTTGACTAGAGGTAGAATATTCTGTAAGTGCTGATGTAGCTTTTGGTTGTATCTCAAATCTTAATTGAGATCATGGGATCAGTCAGCCTGAAGGATTCTTTACAAGAGATCATTTGGTGTAGGCCCAGGTCCTCTGACTGGTTAAAGAATGCAGGTTGCTTATTCATTTCCCCCCAATATTTTACTATGAAAATTTTCAAATATATAGCAACAGTAAAAGTATTTTATAGTGAACATGCACATACCTACGCCTAGATCCTACCATTACTATACTTTATCATACATTTATCATGCGTACATCCTCCATCAGTCCATCTTCATTTTTTAATGCATTTCAAAGTAAATTACAGATACATTAGTACGCTTCCCCCTATTACTTCATTACTAACGTAGTTATTTTGGGGAAGCCCAGAGAGTAAGAATTTTACGTCTTAAAATTTGCTGTGAGAAATTTCTGATGACTTCTGATTATTTTAGAGTTGATAGTAGTTTTAGAAAATAATACGTACTTTTCATTTTCATTGCTGCTCCTCTTCTAGTTTTTTTTCTTTTTGGGCTTTTCAGTTTTGTTTTGAAGGCAGAGTTCATAAAAGTAAAGCTTGAGGCAAAAATACGTTTAGTATCACATTAGGGTTGGATTTCCAACTCAAGAGAAAAAAATAACCTATCGCTTTGGCTTTGCTTTTGGAGAAATGTGTCTTGAAAGTCCAGCTACCCTTATGTATTTTTTAAATCCAGGGAAAAAATTGTTCCAAGTAATGATTAAAGGTCAAGTCATGGTTAAAGGTTACTAATCCTAACATCCTTTCGTTGGGGACCTTTAACTTTAGGCAAAATTCTGTGACAAGAACAGATGGTCCTAGAGCAGATTTAAACTACCAAATAGTCCCTGCCTTTTCACTTTAGCTTGATGGCTCTCTGAAAGCATAAGAATCACCCAGGGCGCTTGTTAAGGATACACATTCTCTCTTGTCTCTGTGAAATTCTGAATCCTAGGCTAGGCAGGTCCCAGAAAACTTTACTGTGCGTCCTAGGTGATTCCCATGAAGGGTGTCAAAGGACCACAGTTTGGGGCAAAAAACCAATTTAAAATTACTTATGCAAAATTGTCTCTGATAATAGGGACTTGGTGTAAGCACGCTGACCTTACTGCTCATTTTGGTTTCCTTAAGTGCTATAACGGTGTGTCTCTTGACAGATGGCGGTGAATGCCAGCCGTATACCCGAGCAGATACAGTCCCTCTCTGTGCAGGACTCTCAGGTACGTTTCTCCACCAGTAGACCTATTTTTAGGAAAACCAACATTTTCGGAAGATAGACAGTTTCAGGGCAGTCCATCAAAATTGGAGGCTTGTAAACTCTTTTTTTTAATAGGTGTGGAGAAAAGGGTACTGTTACTATTGACCATGATTTTCAGGACCTCCAACCTTTAAATGATAGGTTCAAGAGCAAGGATTGATTACCACACTGCTTCTGAAATTGTTGGTACGGTGTGAAATCAGAAAAGGAAAGAAAATGACTTCCCATTCTGTTAGATTCTAGCCACGAACCGTAGAATTAATTGATACTTTTTTTCTTTTTGGCTCTCGGTTGGATTTCTACAACTTATTTTCATAATTCTTTTACCATTGAATTTTATAGGCCAATTTATCTCTACAACTTGCCTTGTAAAAATAAAAGTCCGGGACTGTGAAATTTATTTATATTAAAAGTTACATAATGGAAAACATGCGCCATGAGTCGTGTTGGGTGCTGATGCAGGGTGCTGAGCAACACAGGGGAGGGACATAGTACCAGGGTGCAGGCCACCATTCTGGTTTTGCTGTATAATTAATAGGCAAGCCGTTTTGCTCTAAAATCGTTATACTATCAAGCATCACCAGCCTTGGGATCACAACTCTGCCCCCCAGATATGCATATCCATCGATAAACTCATTTTCATCCTACCCGATGTGTGTTTTCTGAAAGCAGCTGTAAACTGAGGAGAGAGTGATAGGATGTTATGGTTGCAGGAAGCCTGTTTGAGATCAGACAACTAGTCCTTGGCCCTTATTTTATAGCCGAGGAAGCATAGACGTACAGAGGTTAAGTGGTTCATGCAAGGTTGTAGAACAAGGTTATAGAACTAGTCAGAGCTGGGATTCAGTTTAGGTCTTTTTACTCTGAATCAGGCAACTCAGTAAAACAACTTGAGATAAATTGTGAGGACCGGTTGAGTGACAAAAGGCAAGTTAGGAATAATAATTTGTCAGAAGGCAAATAGAATAAGGGAAACAGGAAAGGGGATTAGGATAACTAGTATTATGTAACACATTATAGTTGATAAGTCATTTTCATATATACTATTTGTTCTTCCAGCAAACTTTTGAGACCGGTATTATCCCCGTTTTGTAAGTGGGAAAATAGGTTCAAAGAATGACTTGCTCGTGATTGCACATTTGGTCAGTGGCAGAGCCAAGTCTTGACCCGAAATCTCTCTCTTTCTACTCCAGCAGGAAGGTCTACTCATGTCCAGGGATTCGTAGGAGTAGGGAGGGCCTGTGGAGTACAGGCATTTGTGGTTGATGATCTGTATTTAAGGAAATAGGTTGTAGGTGAGAAAGGCAGGGAAGATCCCTACTGGATCCCACCTTCCTCTGCCTCCTAAGGTTTAAGGTGCCTGGCTTTTGTGTGTCACCAAATCCCAGTGGGTACAGGCAATGGCTCAGCTTAAGGGATGCTCCTTTAAGATGGCTGACCCTTCTTCTTTGCTGCAGCTTATGCCACTTGTTCATAGGACCCACCCTACAGTGGGGTTTTCTATTTGAAACATTTGGCTCTGCAACTGGGATGGGAATTGGGCATCGTTCCAACTTTCACAGAGAGCTGTTACGTGGCCAAACAGGACCTGCCATGTGTATAAAGACCTAGTTTGGAAATTTCCAGAAAGAAAGGGGCATGTGAATCAAGGGGTGTCATGATTTTATTAATTTGTTTTTTGCGGTTTTGTTTTTAAAGGGCCTACCCAATGCTAGCGAAGACTATAGAGAAGCTTCTTGTGCTGTGAACCTCGTTTTAAGATTAAGGTAAATAATACTGTTTATTTTGTATTGCTTTTCCTATAGTACAATGTTCTTATCTCCTTCATTAAGTTTTCATAATATTAGCATAAAATAAAATTGTTAACTTACTTGATTTCACCAAACAGCTAGTGTGTATGCTGTGTTCTGAGGACTAATTGCTCTTTTCTAATTGCTTACTACAGAAGAATAAGAAAGAAAGCACAAGATGAGTGTGTCTGCAGGCTCAGTGTACCCTTCATTAAGGTTTTTTTTTTCCTTGCCTTTTCTTTCTTGGGCTTTTCCTTTTTTTAAAAAAATATTTTTTACAATGTAAGATCACAGTAAGAGATTTTTAATGAGTTTCTTTCACACTTCGGCAGTCAGTCTGACAGAAATAAACCATGCTTGTTCTACAAGTTGCCTGTTCAGAACATTTTTCAGTGGCAGGTTTGATCAGCTACTGTGGCTAAATGACAGATGTATTTTGAAAGAACCCTCAGTCTTCTAGGAAATGGATACAAATATGGTGCCTGACAGCGTCGACTTTGTATCTGGTGAATGAAAGTTCTTTCTGTTTCATGAATTTCTAAACTGTAAGGTCCATCTTGGTGTGTATTCTTTGTTAAGAATATGGTGTCTGAAGACATACTTGCTTCCACTTAATTATAAACAGCTTCACCCACCAGGTCAATCAGGATACTGTCACATTGTTGAAGGTGTTTTAAAATAAGTTACACATGTGTTCTCCTTTGACAATTAAACAAATAAAACACATGGCTGATGGTCCATTTTCAGAGCCATGGCTATAAAAAGCGGATTCATTTTCAAGGTTAGTTTCCAGTCGTCTGAGTTAGTTTAGTCTGTCAGGGTAGGATAATCGTCGGCATAATCACCCCTTACTTCTGATGGTCATTTACAATCTGCGATGTGTTTTCACATGCTTACCAGGGGAACTGCACAGCAAGCTTTGGTGTGATTTAATTCAGAGATGATTTCCCAGTCAAGAAGTGAAATTATTACAAAGACCATTTTCCTTATTTTTGAAAGTAGCCTTGATTATGATTCATAATTATGCATATTTAGTGATCTCCAAAGAATGAAATAGCCCATTCCTTTCTTGTTTGACTTTGGAACCAGATACCACTTTTATTTTTCACTTGTTCATTTATTCATTCCACCAATATTTGTGATAAAACCACTGTGCCGGGCTCCGTGTTTGCTCCTGAGATACAGTTGTGAGCGAGACTGTGGAGGTTACCATCCAGCGCACTTGAGTGTGCAGTGTTGGGAGTGACCTTTAGAGTCCCATCATCCAGTCTCCTACTTGACATATGCAGGAATTTTTTCTTTAGTGGTGTGCTGGATATCTATTTTGCCTCTGTGCATACTTGAGCTCTTTTTCCATGAATCACTCCTATGATACTAAAACGCTTTGTTATGGTTCACCATCTTCCTTGAGATTCAACTGATCTTCCTATCTGGGCTCCAATTCTGACCCTCAGAGCAGATACCAGGTTCTCTGGATTAAATTCTTCTGGAGAGTGTTTTAAAAACACATACATATTCCTGAGCCTTACCTCCAGAGACTGTTTTGCTTTAGGTACTAGAACAATATAGAAGAAGTGCATCCCCTTGTTTTTCTGAGAGCCATTTGTAGTTTTACAAGACTTGTTCCTTTTTCCTAGGAAAAACAGTGCAAGTGGCCTTGCTTCTTGTCATATTGTTCTATATCCTCACGATCTTTTATTGACATGTAGTCTGTACCTGCTTTTGTTATCTTGTTCCTCGTCGGCCTATGTGGTTTCTTCCTGAGTTTGTGGCTTAGATCCCTGGTCCTATCTTCCACCTTCAAATAAGCTAAGAAACAGTGCATAGTGCCCATCTATCTATACACACACACACACACACACACACACACACACACAATTTTGAAAATCACAAGGAATATTAACATATTAAAGGTTCTAAGATGTTCTGCAGGGGAGGAATGTAAGTTAGTTTACTCTAAAACCCATTTGACCTCAGAACTTTCTTCATGGAGTCGTTTTCCAGTTTAATGTTGTAACACCCATATTTAAATGCAGGCTTCCAGATGTGGCCTTAGCAGGCTAGAGTCCAATAGTGAGATTATGTGATTTTTTCTTCTCTGTTTACACTCCATATTTCTCCTGAATCAGCCTAAATTTCCATTCCCTTTGAAATAGCCATGCACTTTGGTGACTGATCTAATATGACCTAACAGCCAAACAAAGCCTCTGATTTTGTTATTTCCACTTGAAGGGCTATCCAGCTTAATTTGAATGGCAACTTGTATTTTAAAACTCATTCTATATGTCTTAACATTTGTCACTGTAAAAGTGAACCTGTTGGTTTTGACCCATTGCTTACTTCCCCCTTCCATCCCCTGCCCATATTTCACTCATGATTGTCAGTGTGGCATATTAGTTATAATGTTTGGATATATGTCAGTTGCCCATCTGATGAACCTGTCTTTTACATCTTTATCTACAACATTGATTTAACATGTTCAACAGTTCAAGTAGAACAGAGGCTTCTGGCATCTGTTAGAAACCAATCACTTTTTGCATGGCTTTTAATAATCAGTATTTTTTTGGTTTAGTTGCTCAAGCAGAAACAAATCCTATTGACTTTACTGCTTTTTAGTGGACATTTAACTAACTACTCAGAGGGATATCCTAAAAGGATCCATTAAAAATGTTACTGAAATTGAGATATCAATGATTTTTTTTTCTGAATCTAACCACCTAGAAACACTTCCAAAAAATAGAAATGAATTTTATTTCTAGAAATGAATTTTAATATGACTTTTGGTGAATATATGTTCGTGCCTGATTATATAAAATTTTTTCCCCTAAATGTTTTCAAGGTATTCATTTAAACCAGTTTTTTGGTTTTTTGTTTTTTGTTTTTTTTCATTTTTGAGAACTCCTGAATCTCCCAAAAATGTATAGTTGGTTTCCTCTAAGGGCAATCCTTCTACTTTGAGAAATAACCTTTTAAAATGAAAAGTTAAATGCTGTTAAGTTTTTGTGGTCACCCTGTGCTGACATAAATGTAAGCAGCAAATCCATTCACTCTGGAAGTATTTATTGAGCATTTGCTATGTGCATGGCGCTGTTCTAGGTGCTGTGATGCAACCGGGGGGAAAAAAAAAGATGAATTTAAATTTCTTGCCTTCTAGGAACTTACATTCTAGAGGTGGGGAAAGGAAATATTCAAACATTCATATTCCTTACATGATTAATCAAGTTCCCTGAAGGAAAATCTATCAGAAGCATAGAAAGTATGGGGGTGCTATTTTATATTAAAGAAGGCATAGTAGGGGCGCCTGGGTGGCTCAGTCGTTAAGCGTCTGCCTTCGGCTCAGGTCATGGTCCCAGGGTCCTGGGATCGAGTCCTGCGTCGGGCTCCCTGCTCTGCAGGAAGCCTGCTTCTCCCTCTCCCACTCCCCCTGCTTGTGTTCCCTCTCTCGCTGTATCTCTCTCTGTCAAATAAATAAAAATCTTTAAAAAAAAAAAAAAAGGCATAGTAGATTTCTACTGTTGTGTAATAAGTTAGCACAAATTTCGGGGCTTACAACAATAGCCGTTTATTCTCTCTGTTTCTGTAGGTCAGAAGTCTGGGCACAGCTTAGATGGGCTCTCTCCTGTGTCTCACAACACTGCAGTTAAGCCATGCTCATCTGGAGCTTGAGGTCTTCTACCAGCTAATTTGGGTTTTGGCAGAGTTCATTTCCTGGCAGTTGTGGACTGAGGTCTTTGGCTCCTACAGGCCACCTACCACAGACACAGTTCACAACAGGACTTTGCTTTTTTTTTTTTTTTTTTTTCCCCAAGGGTAGGAGGAAACCATCTCCCCTCCTCAAGGGCTCAGTCCCTCTGTTAAAGGTTTCCCACTGGATTAAGCCAGTTTCATCTACATTAATCTCCCTTTTTATTAAGTCAAAATCAACTGCTTTGGAACTTTAATTACATCTACAAAATCCCTTTACCTTTGCTATATCAAGTAACTTAATCATGGGAGTGATAGCCCATCATATTTAAAGGTCTCGTTCACACCCAGGGGAGAGGATTATGCAGGGCATGTACACTAGGGGACAGCGGTATTGGAGACCATCATAGAATTCTGCCTACCACAAAAGGGCTCTCTAAATAAAGTAGTATTTGAGCAGACACCCAAGCCATGAGATTGTTTGCAGCCAGAGAGTTCCAGGCAGAGCAAACAGTGATTGCAAAGATTCTGAGCAGGAAGCATGTTATAAGCAATTATAAAAACAGCCAGGGAAACAGTGTGACCAAAGGGGTAGGAGATCAGGTCAGAGAGTTAGCAGGGGCTGAATCCTGTAGGGCCATGTAGCCTGTGCTGAGGACTTTGGACTTCACTGTTAGTAGGTTGGAAATCACTGGAAATTTGTGAGCATATCTGAGTTACATTTTACAACCACTGTGATTGAATTACGGAGCATAGACCATCCAGGGACCATTTAGGGTGGAAGTGCAGAGCCCCTTGGCAGGCTATTGTAGCCATGCAGAGAGCTGTGATGTGATCTGGACCAGGCCAGGGAATAATGGAGGTGGCACGTAATTATTGAATTCTGGATGGAGATGAGAATTCAAAGATTGCTCAAGGTTTGGGCCTGAAAATATGGATGAATGGAGGGGAAGAGAGGTGGAGGTCCAGGTTTGGGTGGAATCAAGAATTAAACTCTAGAAGTAGTGAGCTTGGGTTATCTAGTGGACGACGTGGGTGTGGCATCAAGTAGGCCTTTGGGTGCACGAGTCTCGATGTCACAGGAGATCTAGTTCTGGGCGAGAGGTACTAATTGGAGACTATTGGCACATATGGCACTTAAAACTATGAAATTAGATGAAATCATGTAGGAGTGAGTGAAGACAAGTCATCTGGCACACTCTCAGGTGGTACGTGGATGCAGAGCCGTCAACAGATTGCTAAGGAGAGCCTGGTGGGGTAGAGGAGAGCATGGTCCTATAAACCAACCAGAG